TGTTTTGTTACTGTGTTACTTTAAACATAAAACAAATCAGCCTTTATTTTTTGTGATTTGTATTTTTTTTTTGTATTATTCAGTACCAGTATCTACAACTTTTCTGTTTGCTTTTTGTTAATCGCAATTTAATTTAATTTGTTATGTAAAGTCTATACTAGAATACTAGGCTCAATGATACCAATACATGAACGCACTGATCTCTGTGTTACAGATATTTCCTTACTTTTAATTTTGGACTATGACACTATGACTTGTATCAAATTAATGTATGATTTATTTTTTTGCGTAATAAAAAATATACTACACTAGCTGTTGCCCGCGACTTCGTCCGCGTAAAATAATGACATCTGGCAGAATTCATCAGAATCGATTTAGTGCCTAAGTGAGATTTATTGTGAAATAAATTTATCATAGTATCAGAAAATAAATAATGCCGCAGGGTTTTACCAGTACAGCGCTTGTTGCCGTAAGATGTTAGTGATAAAAAATATTGTACCGAATCTCTCTAAAATAAGTTTAGTGGTTAAGAGATAGAGATAGATTAGCTGAGGCTTTAACGAATATATATTTTCATAACTACACAGGTACCAACAATAAATGAAATTTATAAAAAAAAATAGTATTCATTTTTTAAAACACTACATTTCTTGTTGTTTTCAATTATTATGCTCTAGATAATCTTGCCACATAATTTAGTAATTCCATTAGAACGGTTGGGAAACAATTAAACCTGTAATCAGTTCAATGTGTTCTTATCATGCAATTTGTTGATTTCAAAATTGCTAGATAAATTAAATACCTACAAGACAAAGATCAATTACTGCTCTAGCTATGTATATATATAGCCTAAATTAAATAAAGCGACTGAATGGTTTCATTTAATTTTATAAATATCTAGTTTTATTATTTCATTTGAAGTAGGTTTTATAATAAACCTTATTTATTAGCATTCATATATTTTATAAATTTCTCATGATCCCAAAGGAATAGTAGCCTAGATTATCGCCCGTAAAGTAAGCCTTCTAAGAATGGTTTCTTAACACCAGTGCATTAATTTGGGAATCTATTCCATGCACAATCAAATCTGTTGCATATATGAAATTAGTTTCTTTGAGCAAAAACTAATATAACTTTATGCTTATTATTATTTATTTAAAATTCATACTGGGTGTTAGATTGTTGTTAAATTTATGCTTTTTTCAGTTATAATAGCACCTCACTATTGGTCATTAGATATCAATATTTTCAACACATGTTAAGTTGTTATCTTTCAGTAACAACAATATGACTCAAAAACAAATTATCTACAACATGAGCTCAGCCACATGTTACTTTGAACTCTTATTTAAAGTGTAAAAATAAATTGATATTAAGATAACTTCAATAGCGCTTTCATCGAACAAGTGCAGCTTGTTAAGCTGATACTCTTGGGTGACATTCAAATACCTTAATAAACAATAGAATTCCTCAATGCATATACACTCAACAAGCTACATGCATGCGCAACACAATAAGATCTCAGTTTTACTCAGTTGTATCATGGTTACTTTTCATCCAAATAATTTTGCATGAAGTATTACTATAATCTAAATGAGTCATGAGTGAAATTATCAGATAATATCAATAATTGTTTTTTGTGTAATAGTTAATAATAGAATGTTCATGGCCAGTGGAACTAGGAAATGGTGTAAAGAAGCATTCCAATGACTTAATTAATTATGTTGTTGGTTAAGTGTTGCATTAATTATCTTGACTTTTATTGGATAATAAGACTGATAATAATAGGTACAAGATTGTAAGCATAACTTATCACAAATTGCCAGAACCTGTCTGTCTAAAATTGGGTACTTTTATGAGAATATCAATGCAGGAAATAAGTTTCAGTCTGCACTGCCTTACTGTCTTACAAGAAAATTCATTATGTTATTATAATATGTGCACCTGCAATAGCAACATGTTGAGATACTAAATTCCAATTGGCTCTTGTAAGTTAACATTACTTATTATTATTATGAAGCAAAACATTGCATGTTTCACTATATAAATTCATACCCATATTCTATAACTATGAAAAACAGTTAAACAGTTGAATAAACAAATGTAAAGTTACTCACTTGTACAGATGGCATATAGTCCTTGCCAATCCATTGCCTGAGCCACAGGGTAGTATGGCTAATGGTACTTCAGCTAGAGCTTGCTGCCAGTCTAGTCTCTCAAACATGCCATTCATCACCTCGAACAGTACGCCGTCTCCGCCAATAGCCACAATAGCGCGCCAACCATACACATTCCTAGTGCGCACAAACTCCCGCGCGTACTGAGCATACTTCGTGACATGAAGGTCGAACGGAACCTCAGCTTCCTGCAAAATGGGCACTACTTTCGACTGGAACAGCTCTCTAGCTTTACCCGGCCCAGATTTTGGATTTAGAAGCACAAGTATCTTTTTTTCGTTAGTCGGCGGCGAGGACGTTATCGGCTGGCGCGCAATCAAACACTTTATTGTAGTCCTCCATTTCTGTGCTTCTTTATTATTATCTTCATACTTATCAAAAGACCTGAAGCGCAGTGTTATTGTTGTCCTCTCTCTTTTCAAGGTACGTCGACTTCTTTTCAGTATGTAAGCATAAATGTACAGGTAGGCGCTGATATCGTTTTCATCAAGATCGCCACTGTTTTCATCTACAACTTTAAGCTGGTTACCAACGAAGGAACTGCAGACACATGAGCCGGCTCCAGGGCGTCGTCGTTTGCTCCTCATACATTTGCTGCCAATGATATCAGCTAGCAATATAGTTTGTTCTTTTGAATTGCCATCTGTTTCTTTTGTTAGAGACAAGCCTTTAGGAGTCAACCGAACACGAAATACTGAGTTCTTTTTAGAAAGAATGTAAAATGTTTCCTCGAGATAAACAACATCTTTCGAAACAGAGTCACCTTCGCCGACGTTTGACACGTCCTTCCCATTCTTTAGATCCGCCATGACTAATTTTTATTTTTTTTATTTTCCCTAGAGTGGTGACATTCCGCAACATAGAGATTATGTCAAACTATAGTGAATCACAATGTCATATCGACAAAAAAATAAAGCAAACAGTAGCGTTCACTGAATTTGCAAACAAAAATGGTACATTTGCTCTAAAATACTGTAATGAATTCTTGTAAATGCCAAAAAACACAATATCTGACGAGATTTTATTTAAGTATTGTGTAAGTATGTAATTGATCAATAATATTTTAGCCAAGGACGTTAAAAAAAGTCGGATATAGTTTCTTGAAACAAAAAGACTTACGCAGAATATGGCCCGTCATTACACTTCGTATATTATGGTGTTGGACGTACACGCACAAATAAATATACCACTGCCATCGTTCTTGATTTAGTAATATTTTTGGACCTCATAGTGTGGTGTGGTGAGTCCATGACAGGGCTCTTCTCTAAAGATTGTTCACTGACAGTCACCTAAACTGTCAATATGTCATGATACTACTGTCATGTCGTTTACTCTACTGTGACATGACTGTGACTTTTATGACTGTCAGTGTCAGGCCAGCTGCCAGCATTGCATGCGTGTTGTCAAAAACTAACCTCTTTATTTTGTAAATAAATTTTAATTTTGTAGCCAAAATATTTTTGTGTTATAAGATGAATAGTACAAATTGTTAACTGTAGTAGTTATAATGTCGCATAAAATTTTAGAGCTTTATAGTGGCATTGGGGGCATGCACTGTGCATGGAAAGGTAATAGACACAATATTGTCATGAATAATTTCAAATATTATACATGTTGCAGTGACAGTGATAAAATTGAGAATACTGCTGAGCCCAGTTATGTTTAGCTTTCAAACAGAAGTAACCTACTGGCCTTTAAATACTTTTATGTAGTCTTCTACCCATCCTTTGATGTTTAAAGAATGAATAATATTCAAATACACTAACTTATTCAGTATTTATTTTCAGAATCTGGTCTAGACGGAGAAATAGTAGCAGCAGTGGATATAAATACAGTAGCTAATTCAGTATATAAACATAATTTTCCCGAAACTAACTTACTGAATAGAAATATTCAACAACTGACACCTCAAGTAATAAAAAAATGGAATGTTGATACAATACTTATGTCACCTCCATGCCAGCCATTTACAAGGAATGGGAAATATTTAGATGACAACGATCCTAGGACTAATTCGTTTTTATACATAATAGGGATACTAGATCAGCTAGACAATGTAGATTATATTCTTATGGAAAATGTTAAAGGCTTTGAGAACTCTACTGTTAGAAATTTATTTATAGACAAGTTGAAAGAATGTGACTTTATTTACCAAGAGTTTCTGCTATGTCCATCAACTGTTGGTGTGCCTAACTCTAGACTAAGATATTACTGCACAGCAAGAAGAAATAAATTGACTTGGCCTTTTAAAAGAAGAGATGAAATTGTAAGTTTAAACTGATATACTTTGAGCTCAAATACTCAATATTTTATTTTTATAGCAATGTTTTGCAATAAAGTATTATTTTCTTTTGCAGATTACAAGACTACCAATAGATTTTGGTGTCCCACACTCTTTAGAATCAATAATCGAAGAGGATGTAGATGAAAAATTTTTGGTACCAGATAAAATACTGAGATGTGCCAAAGTGTTTGACATCTGCTATAGAACCTCAAAGAGATCTTGCTGCTTTACAAAAGCTTACACTCATTACGCTGATGGAACTGGGTCTATATACACAGATAAACCTCGAGAAGTAGTACAAAAATGTTATGAAGAAGCTAAACAAAACGAAATTGGTAGTGAAAAGTTTGTTGAACTATTTAAGGAATTGAAATTACGGTACTTTACACCGAAAGAAGTATTAATGTTAATGTGTTTTCCTAAAAGTTATAATCTGCCTACAAATATATCTATGAAGCAATGTTATCGGTTGTTAGGTAATAGTGTTAACGTTAAAGTTATAAGTGAACTGTTAAAAATACTGTTCGAATGATAATAAATATTTATTTAATATTTTTACAATGTCAATTTTTTATTTTACTGTCAAACACTGAGCAGTTACCGGTGACCGCAACCTATTGTCCTTTAATGGTGTCTATAATGATGGTACTCAACGAGTTAATGGGCATAGTGGTCATTAAATCTTCTACATAATATTTTACAGCCCATACACAATTAAACTATGTAGACAGTGGTCTGTCGAATACATTGTTGTAAGTAATCAACAGTTGAATTCAAAAATAATACTAATAAATTAAATTGCCCCATTGCTAAGAACTTGTCTAGCTCTTCGTTTTGCATGATAGTTCAGAACTCGTAATCGTAACATAACAGCAGTTGAGGAAGCTGCTCCAATAGCAAATGACCATATTGTGAACTTCCAATAAGCTCTTTCTTCAAGATATGCAACTCGATCACAACTGAAAGCAAGAAATTAATTTGAGGTTAATTTTACTACTATTTCTTTTCAGTTATTTTGAACTGTGACTTAATAGTGTTACTAACCTCCTTGTGACCGTTTCACCATTTTCACATTTAAGTATTTCTTTAAAACTTGTGTGTATACATACTCCTATGCTCTTACTTCGTATTTCGAAATCTGCAATAGAAAAAGTATTGTTTCAATAACTAAAATAATATCAAATTCCACATTTAATATAAAAGTATGGTATTGTATAAGAATTTCTGATTTTCTGGTGCAGTTTATGATAAGTTAGTCTAACTGACAAATCAACTGACGCATTTTTATTGGACATTGTGAAATAGGCCTTGATATTGCATTTTATAATTATTATGTAGTAATTTTGTAACATAATTTACCTGAACAAGGATGACATTCACTAACAATTGAATATTTCTGTCGCATCCAACATGTTGAATTGTTTTCTGTAGGGAATGTCTTGTTCTTCATTTTGTAACTACCAGACATGGAGTCAGCCAAATGGGACTCTAGTATTAGCACTACTATCGTCAATCTGCAAAATACAATAACAAGTTTGATCTCATTAATGTTTATCAGACTACATATTGTGCAAAATTGTAGTGCGTAAAAAATAACAAGTAAACTTACATTCCTAAACAGACGGTCCCAAATAACATGCATTTTTTAGAACAAGTTTCAATCATTTTGCCCACTGAATTATTGCTGTTTCTTTGTATTATATCAGAAAATACATCCTACACTGTATTATATCAGAAAACACACAATTTACGAAGAAAACAAAGTATTTCCATGTCAGTGACATTAAATGTCAAATGACTTATCGATATGGATATGACAGTAATACACAATGACGTTTACAGAAACTGGAAACGTGTGATGGATGAAATGGTGGAAATAATGGAAATGAAACAATAGTTATGTCATTAATTATTCCATGTTTTTACCCATATTATTACCATTAGATTTACTGAAAATTCAGATTCCTTTTTTGGAAGACATAATTAAATCGACTAAATTATACTTTTCGTCGTTTCACAACTCTATTTTTAAAATGGTTGAAGTTGAAACGGCGGCGGACGAAGCGCCATGTTTATTGAAAACGTAACGTTATCGGAAAAGAAAGCTGGCTGTGTTGTTTTTTATAAATTAGTTTAGCGAAAGTGCGATGGTATTTACTTCAGTTTGATATTTCTGTTTCTAATAAGAAGTGTGAGTTGTACTATTGTAGTTTCTTCTATATACTATTGTTGAAAAAATGGCAGGGCCGCCTGAAAACCAGAGGTCTTTTCGACTTTTTGTGACCCATGTCGACGGTGACTCTCATTTTCTGAAAATTAGTGGTCAAGTAGATCAACAGGCTTCGTTGATGATAGAGAGCCTGTTTGAAAGTTCCCGAGATAATCTAGAAAAAGGCATCGGAGCGGTGCCACCGGCAGCTATTCATGAAGGTGTCATTTGTGCCGCCAAATACAAAGATGGTATTTATTACCGAGCTAAAGTTGTGAGCACAAATAATTTGTCTACCGGTTTGGTTGGAGTCCACTTCATTGACTATGGGAACAAAGACATAATTTCTTTGAGCGCTATACGATTCCTCGACAACTACGACCCGCTATTCTTACAACTACGTGGTCAAGCGTCTGACTATTACCTATCTGGGGTAATGAATCCGTCTGGAAGATGGGAAGAACCACTTTTACTAAAACTGCAAAGCTTAGTGTGCTATTCTGATTATATTGCGACTATTGAAGCTCAAACTCGGACAATACCTATAATATCTGTACAATTTAAAGGCACGGATCTATCGACACATCTTGTGTCGATTCGTTTTGGTGTAGCTTTACCTCTTGCAAAGCAAGAAGTCTTACTACTTCAATTATCTGGTGATAATCATCAACCATCAAATTGGCAGCCTAGTGTTTCAAATGAAACTGCAAATTTCCCCGAACACATCCCATTTTTAATGAATCAGAATTTCCCGGCTAATCCAGCATCCACTATGCGCATTCAGCAAAATGCATCATTACCATTTAATGGAAGTATACAGATGGCACCATCTTTGATTGGACAACGGTTACTCAACAAAGCTTCTAGAAACCCAGGGAATTTAAAGGCCCCAGTACGCCAGCCACAGCATGCCCCTACTAATAGCATCAACCTTTCAACCCCTCCACCAGCTCTAATGATAGCTCCTAAACCTGGTTCTCCTAAAAAGTCATCCACTTATAAGAGCAGATTATTGGAAGTGAACTCTCAACATAAAGTTTTTGTGTCATTTGCTGAAGAAGGACCAGAATTATTTGCAGTGCAACTTGTTAGTGATGCCAAGAAACTGCAGGATATGATGGATGACATTAATAAGAGGCCACATAGCAGTCTTACTGAACCACCTATGATAGGCACAGTCTGCCTGGGCAGGATGTCAGGTGACCGTATTATATGCAGGGCTATTGTTATGAATCTCTCTGGATCTCAATGCAAGTTATTCTTTGTTGACTTTGGGGACACAGAAATGGTATCATACTATGATATCTTCGATATACCTGATGAGTTTGTGAAGCCTAATGTGTTCGCTATGAGATTCTGTTTATCTGGTGTAAAGAAATTGGAAAAGGGGCTTCATTTGAATGAGACTTTCAAACAGCTAGTTAACGGAAAAGTGATGACCCTGAAAGTAGTGGCACCTGAAGGGCCACCATTGATTCAGTATGGAGAACTTTACTTAGACAATAAGAATGTGCTTGAATTGTTGATGGCTAATATGAAGGACAAGCTGCAGTTTAAAAGGATTGACATACTTCCTTTGGGATCGAGGCGCTCTGTTCTTGTGTCTTATGTGGATAGCTGTATCAAGTTCTTTGTGCAGTTGTCAGATAACATTGATGAGTTGAATGCTGTGATGGAAGCTGTAAGAGCTCACTGTGAGAACAGCTCGTCTCCTGGAGAGTTGCCAGTGGGAGCAGCGTGCTGTGCACGATTTCCAGATGATAACAACTGGTACAGAGCGACAGTTAGAGACACTAAGAAGAACAAAATAGTTGTTATGTATGTGGACTATGGTAATGAACAAGAGGTTGAAGTATCAGATTTGAGGACCATTACTCCTGATTTGATAAGATTTCCAGCTCAGGCTATGATGTGTGCTCTGAAGGTGAGTTGTCTGATTAATATGCAGTAATCTAATTCGTACATACTTGGATTTTGTTATATTTGCACAAGAAGATTACAATCTAAATCTAGTAAGATTCTAATAGGATATTTTTTAATAGGTGTCTATAGGATTCTAATAAAAAATACATTTTTTGTTAGGGTTATGAGAACAAACCAGTAGAAACTAAGACATCAAACCAATTGGAGATGCTAGCTTTGGAGAAGACACTGACTGCTCACATAGTGGGCATGCTGTCTACCACAATGGTAGTGTCATTGATTGATGAGACTGTAACCCCACCCCTGGATGTAGCCCGAAAGATGACACAACTATCTCAACCTAGGAGCTCTCATGAGGTAAGTTCTCTTCTAAAATCCATCCTTTTCTACTAAAAATTACTTTAAATACCTAATTGTTATATTGTGCAGAAGAATTTCTAACTAACCTACTTTACAACAATTATATGCTATCAATACCTGAATTTAATGACTAGTAAAGCAACTCAAGGCTTAGCTAGCAAGACTAAATAATCTGCTGACCCTATTTCATGTGTTACTCTGTGTATATCAATTAATGTATTTGATTGAGTCAGCAGTTTGAACCTACTTGTAAAGATAAGTGAAACTTGCATTGGATACTTATTAGAATCTAATTAGCATTGAAACTGCTTGGTGACTCAGATTGCCGAAAAACCTAACGAGTCTATGACAGACTCATAGTCTTTATTTTTATACCAACTTCTAAGTAACTTTGTGTAGGTATAAAATTAGAGCATCGATAAACGAATATCCTTTTGTTAGTCTTCGATTTTCCTTTCTTCATAACGGAAGTGCATCGTTTATCGAACGCAAAAACTGTGCTACAAGAATTGCGTTTTTAGTTTCAATAAAACACTTTTCGCGTAATACAATGTTTCGTAAAATTGGAGTCAGTTTACAAATTGCACAAGAGGTTTATAAAAACTAGGGTATTGATATCGAAATATAGGTAAACTAGAAAATTAAAAAGTTACCTACATTTAGAATTATTTGTAACAAATCAGTCGTCTAGAAATAAGTCGGTCTGTTATTGAAATACGGTTGTCATCCCTGCAGGCCAAAGCAACAACCCCAATAAGGAAAGACGCTCCAGAAACCTTCAGTTCTCCGGACAGTGCATCTGATGATGGCAAAAAGAAAGGCTTCCGACGAGAAAAGAGCTTCAAGGAAGAATGGAGACCACCAAAAGAGGGCAATGAAGAATTCCAGCAAAGAGGCGGCAGTTTTCGAAACAGGTGAGTTAAGAATTAAACCCATACATTTTTTACCTATATTTATGCTAACTTTAGTAATAAATGCGACTTTATTGTATGCGTAGTAAATGCGATTCTCCCATGTTCTCATTAGACATACTATGTTCCGCTAATATTCAATGAAGTGTAGCGAAGTTACTGTTTGATTGATTTATCAATAATCGGAACAAATGAGTTGTTAATAAAGTTATAACACGGCGTTCTTTGTAACTGTATTAAGTTCGCTAGACAGGGTTGTAGTTTTCTTATCTGGGCCCCTATGCAAAGCGTGTCGTGAAGTTTTGAGGCCCTTATCGATCTCTTAGTAACCATTTCCGTTTAAATTCTAACAAGAGCTTTTGTAAGTAATGTGTTATCTTCATAATATTGAGGTTCGATATCAAAATAATAAGCCTTAAATATAAATATACTAGTCTCGCTAGTTTAACTAAATATAAAACGTGGAAAAATACAATGAGCAATATTCTATTCTATTTCTAGATAGGATGTTGTTCATGTTGTTATTTTATTGAATATTGATAAGTTATCGCGTGTTAAGCAAATCGGGAATTACCCTATTATTGTTTTTATGAATCAGTACTGCCAACATTGTAGTAGTGACGTTGACATAGAGTATAAATACATTCATAATGCGTTTTATTCGTTCATGTCTACTTTTACGCGTCACTTCACAAGATAATGTAGCCAAAAGCATTGAAAATATTAAAATAAATATCTAGGTTCTGGTCTCAATATAGTATTAAAATAAAGCAAGATATAATTTGTGATATTGATATACAATCCTAATAAATTCTTCCAAGCCATGGGCCCCTAGCCCCTTAGTCTATACATCACTATTAAAGATAATAAACTCAGCAACTAGGTACCTAAGCATGCCTAGCTATAAATTATACTGTGGCAGACGTTTTCTGAAGCAAACGTCTGACGCTGATATGGATATCAAATTAAAGTCGCCTACAGATCGGATTTCAAACTTAATTAACTGTGTAAATTGCATTTTTTTTTGACGGGGAAAAAGTCATCCAATGACTTCTCTCGTCTTGGGTGAGGCGAGAGGTTGTGCCAGACTCTTACTGACTAAAAACTACCCCGTTCCTACTCCTGCTCTTGGAGTAGGAGCCCCGGCAACCCGTTAAGTCCGCCTCAGGCGTCAGCTTTACTGGGCGCATCTGTGGTCTGATGGCTCGGTGAGGCGCGCGCGGTACGCTCGCATCTGGTTCTGATTGGGCGGATAGTTACCCGTGCTCGCCGTCCATAGGCCCGTGCTTACGGTGGCCAAAGATCGTCTCCTGATCCTTAACTAAGACTTAAATATGTGACTAAAATATTGTTCTTGTCAATATTTGCCACAAGAAATGTAGTCGAACAAAATTCAGCTACAAGTTTGTCTCTAATCTAATCCATAAATCATTCGCACGTGGTTATCGCCCGTTATCTCATAACTACTAAACCTCGGGGTAAATAATGTCCCTTTTAAAGTTCAAGGATTTTTGAACTGCAGTACCTGTGAGAGATTCAGGAGATACGAATAAAATATAAAAGGTTATAAGAACACAAGGTCCTATCTTATTACCAATTGATGATTGAACTTAAACTAAACATACAATGCCTAATCGACTAGTCATGTCACTAGATATTTAGTTAACAAAACTTAAAATAAATCACGTCAAAAACTAGTCAACGTCTTTGTTCTTCAGACTGTACAAAAGAACACTCATTTAGGTAATTTTTACAGCGGTACTACCTCTCAAAAATTAGCGAACGTGTGCCCGATAGCGTCAGTTTTCAGAATTTTGTCTGCCGTTTTCATTTTTGGAAATATTAAGTGCATGTTGCTGTTGTTAATGCACTTACTGAGAATTTGTATATTTAACAATTTATCTAAGAACTTTTAAAATTAGTGGTACCGACAATTTAACTTGACCATAAGACGATAGATAAAAAATTACTTGACTTAACATTTTTATTACTTAAAAAGAAATACTTCAATCATAAAAAATGATTTTGTAATCCATGTTATAGTTAGATGCCAATTAAAATAGTCTCTGCCTACCCCCATGGGAGACAGGGTTATGTATGTATGTCAAATAAAACTTCATTTTTAAGTGTAAACAGCTGTTTACATAGGTATTTCCCTTCGTTTCCAACTCACCAATAATCTCTGCTTATCGCATCTTGCAGCTGTATTTATACACCTTATTTCTTACGCATCAAAAGCTATTTTCGGAATCGTTTTCACAGGAAAAGTGTAAACATAATGATTATATCGTTCGTCGAAAATAATGAGCTTGATCTTAAAATAAATGTAACGAAACTGTGTCGGAAAGAGTACCTATATGTACTTGGTATATATAATTCGTGTATACCGGTCATTAAATCGAGCAATACTTTACACATCTATCAGTTCTGACGCCTTAATTGTATAGTAGCTGTTAGTATGTTTTCCTCTGAAGGCATATGTGTGTGGTACTTAGAGTAGTCCAACCTCAAATATTCAAACTTTGAATCAAAAAATTTTAATCAAAGTCAAAGCATTTTTTTTCATTTAATCCTTAAAAAGGCACTTATGAACGTCAAAATTGAATTGTCCGTCCGTCTGTCTGTCAGTGTAGCTAGACGCTTTTAAAAAAAATGTTTTTATAATCTCATTCATACATTATCTGATCCCTCACAAATTGTATATAATTATAATTATGTAATATCAATCTGGTCTAGTAGTCATGTTATGATTAGGTACAAATATATAACCCAGCTGACTCAATAGACGCACTTGCGCATACTAAACTATTAGGACAATAGAAACGAATACCAATTAAAATAATTATACAATAATTGTAATAACGAAGAGGAAAAGTAGGTGATTGCGTTCTTACTTCTTATTTACACCGCTCGACTGATTGAAAGCAATCTATACCAAATACTTGCTTGTTACTTGTGTTATGTTTCAACGTTTCACCGTTATTCTGCGTTTAGATAATGGATATAATGGTACATTCATATCGTGCAGTTAATACATAGTAGGTACACACTACACATACAATGCAAAATCGTTGATAAGTAAGTTCTTAACGCCGCGGCGTTACGGCGCGCCGTATTGTTAACAATGTAAATATCTAAGCGTCTTTGGGTTTCGAAAAATTCTTATTAATAACGGAGGCCAAAGTTATGACAAATGGTGCGAGGTTCTCGTTATTAATTGGGACTCATAACATGACTAGTAAACTTTAGTGGTTACCTTGTTTATGTGCATCCCTGCTTTAATGCAGCAAATAAACGCAGCAATAAATGCAGCAAATAAACGCAGCATTAAATGCAGCAAATAAACGTTAGACGTTATGTTATGTTAAATAAACAAAACTGTTAATATAAAACCTCAAAAACAACAGTGTTTTTGGAAAGTAATACTTATACGTGCTACTTTCAAACGGCAAAAACCATCAATTTACTTGTTGATTGCAACCACAGAGTATGAAATTTCAAATTTAAATGCATTTTTGTGTGTCTGCGCACTATCTATCATATTATTCTAGATTTCAATAGTGGCTGCGCGGACAATGAACGCTGTTGATGACATGACACATACTTTGTCGTTGTGGCTGAGAAAGTAGCTTGCGCAATTTGGATCGCCAGTACGACTTGCGCACAATTGTTTGACTGGATATCGTATTTTGGATTACTCAGTCTATATAAGATATTGACACTTGAGCTTGGAGGAAAGTTTAAACTGACAATAGTAATGATTGATAGACGAAGAACAACGCAAGTTTGTAAATATTAGTACTTAGGTCATGTAAAATTGTAGACATAGAATTCAATTCCTTTTTGTCTTAGGTCTGATATAATATAAATATAAGTTCATAAAATCAACTGCCCAATGAGATATGATATCATTAGATAAAAAACAGTACAATGAACTTTCTATTCACTTCACGTTTGGCCGTCTAGTCCTGTTAATCTATTGATAAATATTTACAATTATGTGTTGGCAAACATTAGCCGAGACTATCTTCAGATTCAGAGTTGACAGCTTTATACTTCGTATTCACATTACCGCGCGATGAAAACATACTGAGCAGAGTACAATTCATTTTGTAACCGACTCTAATCTTTCCGTGGGTTTCATAAAAGCCGACCAAGAGACTAGAGGTACAAGGTCGTGGTGGCCCAGAGGTTTAAGACTCGCTTCTCTTGCAAGAGAGTCCGGGTTCGAAACCTACCAGCGGCAAGTATCAGTGACTTTTTCCGAGTTATATGTACACTACACTGTACAATGTAACACCCACTTTTCACTATTTATGTTATGAGTCTCATGTAATAGGGGGTGAGCCTATTGCCATATACCGGGTACAATTCCAGACTCCGTGCTACTACTGTAAATTTTTTGAAAAACCCTGTAATACTTTGCCCGACCCGGGAATCGAACCCCGAGACCCCTTCCCCGGCAGTCGCACTTGCGACCACTCGGCCAATGAGGCAGTTAAGTAATGAATAGTAAAGTTTGTAATGGTGTAGATTAATGCTCAAACCTTCTCCGTGTGAGAAGAGGCTTTGCTCAGCAGTGGGCATTTATAGGCTATCGATGAAGAGACGACAAACAGCCACACACGTGACAAAGACCAGTAGCGCTCTCTGATAAACATCAAAATTTTAATTGCTGTCGCAAATTTGCCATACATGTCTAAACATTATGGTCGTCGCGGAGAACCTAACGGGTAACCGGGGCTCCGGCTCGACGTGCAGGAGAAGGAACGGGGTGGTTTTTAGTCAGTAAGAGTTTGACACTCCCTTCCGCCTCACCAAGGCGGGAGCAGTCATTCGATGATTTTCCTCCCTTACAAAAAAAAAACGTTATGGTCAAAGCTTAGAAGATGCGTCTGCAAAATCCTATGGACTGGACTGTCCTTGCCTATGGCCCAGTGGATTGTCACGGGGTATTAATGTTGATTCAAATTTTAAATGAAAGTACACACGTCAATTGATTTGATCTGATAACATTTTTGCTTTACTTTTTATCACTAATCGATATTTTTGCGACAACCGATAGGTGTTATTTTAATCCGGACTTGCCGTGATGTAATTGATATTGCAACCATTTAAGTATATTGTTGGTAATGCACTGATTCACAGCAAACATGACATCATTGATATTCAAGGGCAAACAGGAGATATTTACAATACATAGTTAAATAGCTCCTATACACCATTATTAGAATAACTCATCAGATCTGCCATAAGACTTCCATTACTGAACTCAGACGTACCTTAAAAGACTCAAATCGGCATATTGAACCTGGGCGATAAAGTAAGTCCATGCCCATTTTTTAATTATGAAGGCGTCTAAAAATAATGCCATGCTCATTTTGAATCGTTGAAACGTAAAAACTTCGTAGAATCTAGACACCTAACAATGTAAACAGACTTTCTCTGCTTGTAAAAATAGCACATAATAACTGCAAAATAAAATTCGAAGTTAATCGATTTGGTCTATTACCTACAGTCTGTAAGAGTGCACTCAACGAATTCATCGAGTATTTTACAAAATAAATAAACTGACTACTTAGGTAGAGTATAAGAATTGCTTTAAAAATATGATTTCATGCAAACAAACACTAAACTCTTCCTTGCAAATCCTGCGTACTGCTCCAATAATAATAACGTAACTAAGGTTTTATTTCTTTGACCTTCTATCAATATTATATCACATAGATTCTTATATCCAATTTTATCGTAATAGGGGTCGGGTGGTAGAACTTACAGGATTAAGATGTAGTCTCCTTTTTAAATAAAATACACACACGGAGTTAACAATAATCAACCGAAACTCACACACTTACGCTGTGTTCCTGCGATTTTCAATGGTCAAATTGACGTTATTCAAAGAAATCATTACTTAATTTGACGACAACGGTAAACAATGCATTAGTTTGCAAACAACATTAGGCATCATTAAGAAAATATTAAATAGTAATAATTACTTGCATTAAACTTCGCAAATTTTATTTAGGTACATAAATATTTACATCCATGAAAAACATCTTTGAGCATGTAAGTACCTAACTTCATACTTAGTTTAGTACAAACGGCTTCAGATACTGTTTACACTGAAACTACTTATCTCAGAAGCCAGGCCCAGAACAAATCTAATGCGTGATATTTCTCTAATCCGACATGACGAAATCCCAGCATGACAGCTGAAGAATCGAGATAAAAATATCGTGTAACAAATTGTAATGTGACTAGGTGAAAAAATATGCAATGTATCTAATGATGATTTAATTGTAACTACATTATGAGCCTATTATTTACTAACTACTGCAGTAATGGCATTTTTGTCTATAAAAAGATGGACAAGAAATTTTATAGTCAGTAAGGATAGCCCTTTAGTATAAAGATTATCTATCTTTCTATGTTCCCTTACAGTCAGTCCTACACTATTATACAATCGAGTCTATGCAATACTCAATACGTAATAGTTTAGTTTTTATTTTCCAACAAAAAAGTAATAACAGAGCATGAGTCAGGACTCATGGACAGTTTGACCTTCACATCGGTTCTTTGAACCCATGAGTTTAGTCGAAGCGAGACTAGCTACAGATATGTATAGGTAATCTGTTGTTTTGTGATTAAAATTATGATTTATTAGTTCCTTGATGATTAAGGTACGTTGTAAAGTGTTGGGCGTGTGTTTTGTAACGTGTGGACCTGTTTTCTATGTGCAGAGACAACAGGGACGGCTTCGACAGGTCTGGGCCGGGCCGGCATAGCGAAAAGTTTGGCGGCAGACCGGAGCGAGTCGAGCGGTGAGTGCATACTATTTATACTTGTTTTGTCAAACCTTTTTCTTTGTTATAACTTCAAGAACAGACGCTATAAATGCTAGTTTAGTTTGTGTAAAGAGAAAATTTATCGTGCCGTAATATCGATCGCTATGACGTTTTCCGCACATGCGTCGTGCTTTAATTAATTTGTTAATTAATACAATTTTTAAGTTGGTAATTAAGTTTTTCAACATTTTTTCACTGGTCTTTGATGATTTCTTAGTTAAAAGCAAATCTGCGAAGCGATATCTTAACTCTATTCATAACGGTAATTTAAATCTTGTAAAGTTTTGGACACAGTACATTAAAAATGAGTACCTGAGTGCCTTACTATGTATGTTATTGAAATCTGACACAATATTAGAAACCACGCTTGTGATTCCAAAGTATGCATTATATCGAATTACATACAGCGCAGTTATGACTGCACATTAATATGTATCAAGAGAATTTGTCAGTACAAAAAGTGATCACTCGTGCTAATCGAGACTACGCTCATTATAAACGTATTCTACAGATCTGCTGATAACTTAGTTGTCTCCTTTGTGGTGTAGTTTCAAATAATCAAATAGTATTGTAAAAGCCATAAAAATTGTGGTTTGCCATTATATCGCAAAGAAATGAATTACTGTTTTAGGTTAATGACGTTTTTATTTACTAATTGTTAATGGTGAGTAATTAAATATTGATTTCGTTAACAGTCCTCATAACGACAGACGCGGAGGGCCGCCAAAGCCTCGTGAGAATGTGCCGTCCTCAGTCGCTGACGACGAGTGGGAGGAGACTCCTTCTCAACCTACAACCTTCCAACCTCCACACAGACAAAATAGAGATAGGGACAACAACCCTAGGGAATACACCCCGAGAGATCGAGATAACAACCCTAGAGACAGGTATGTAACACCCATTGTAATAAACTTCCCTACATATATAAACTGTTATTAAACGTTAAAACTCCTTCCGAAAGTATAGACCTGCTTCCGATAACATCAAACTAGAACTACCCATTTATAAACACGTAATTTCCCAACAAAAAAGTGAACGCATAAATTAACTTCAAAATTCAACGTCTACTTTCCCCAATGCAATGCGTTAATTACGAATTAGGCTGTTTTATAAAACAGTTGCAATGATTCGACAGAAGAAAGCCTAGGTCGGAAAATCAACACGATAAGCCGGGTCAAAGACCAGGTTGGAAGAAGGATTCGAGTGGAGTGGGGAAAAGGCTAAGGCAAGCCGCTGAAGCCGCCTCCTTGGACGCTCAAAACGCTCCTACGAAGGGTGCTTCCATACAGGATAGACTGAAACGGTACTGTGGTGTATGTAACACGACACATCACACGCCCTCGACACCGGCTGTTCCGCTTATTGCTCCATCAACATTAATGCTTTATCGTTTGATCATTGTGTGCCATTGTATGTACGGCATTTGCCCAAGTGTTATGTTTTTTGTTTGCGTTTTTGTAACACCCACCGATTCTCCCTCTCACTCCATCATAAAGGAGGCGAGTCAGTAGTTTGTTGTTGTATGTGGTAGCTGGTGATTGCAGCACGTTAGATTGCGCGATACCAAGCAATTAGGAACTAAAGCATTAATGGTTGAATCAGCGTCGTTCTCGTTGTCTCGCCCTATTTGCTTGCCACGCTTGGTTTGCGCCGCACATTTGTATCGAGCGTATTCAATACGTTGCATCTATGTCGGCTCTTGTTTATAACATTCCATTGCACAATGACGTCTTGAGAAGTTGTAAAGAGTTATAGCAGCACTGCTCTACTGCTTATGTCATTTCATGAATATAATTGTAGATTTTCACAGCAAATTCTTCTTCGATTTGGTTTGTATTCACGATAGATGCTTGGTGTGGTCAGCACTGTAATTTTGTTTACATTTTAGGTACTTAAAGATTCGTAATTCTATTAATAAGAACTAATTTCATTTAAACTTATTTCACTATCCATCAGTTTCACAGGTTCTGTAAAAAGAACTTAAATTGTATATATTATTTGCTAGGAACTTGTGAAACTGGCTCTTAATATCCATAGTGTTAACATATTATTTTAACATGCATTAACATAACATTTGAAACTGGTATTGTTTCTCTACAACGTTGGTCATGGTTTCAGGGATAACAAATATAGCCAACATGATGACCGTGATGAAAGACCTCAACGGGAGAACCGTTTCGATCGTTCTGACCGCCCCGACCGATCTGACAGGCCTGACCGGCCTGACCGCCGTGATAACCGGGATAGCCGTGGCGACAGGCGCGATAACTGGGGAGACAAGAAAGAAAACTGGAACCAAAAGAGAGATTTCCGACCGAATGACAGAGCGCCGAGGAGCAACTTCTCACCAAGAGACCGCGCGGATCGTTCATTCGGATCAGACGATAAAAAGTCTGACAAGAGCTTCAGATCTCAGGATAGCGGCAGGGGAGAGCGCTCGGGTCGCGCCCCGCCATACAAGAGCCGCAGCAAGTTCACGCAGGTCCAGTACAAGGAACTCCCCGACCCTGTGCCGCTCGAAACTCCATTCCTCGAGCCCACGTCCGTGGAACCCGGCGCGCAACACGAGGTTTCCGTCACCTGGATCATAAACCCGGAATGCTTCTTCGCCCAGATAATGTCGCTGCAGCCTAAGTTCCTTGAAATGATGCACAAAATACCAGAGATATACAAAGGCGTGAAATCTTACACTGGTGAAGTGCCAGTCGGCGGATCAGTGTTAGCTCGTTATCCCGTTGATGGCGTATTGTACAGAGCTACCATCGAATCTGTACAGCCATTCTCGAAGTTTATCGTTCGGTATGTAGATTTCGGCAACAAACAGCTAGTGGATGCTAAAGATATTTGGCAGATGGACAAACAAATGATGGAGTTGCCTAAGATGGCGGTCTGTTGCTCTCTTTCGGGCGTAATGCCAGTGGAAGGTGAATGGAAGCCCAACAACCTGGATATGGACTTGTGCTTCAACGCGCCGCGGTATCAATGTATATTCCAGGAGTTTGTTGAAGACCGCTACAAGGTGTCGCTATGGAACAATGGAGTCAGTGTAGCAGATATGTTGGTCGAGAAGGAACTGGCTAAATTATCTGAACATCAGTCGTCTGTTACTTTGAAAGGTAAGATCCGAGATACATCGGCATCCGAGATACAAGGCCATGTTCACCAACAATGTATAAACTGAGCATTTTGAACTAAACTTTTTACTTATTTCAGACGAAGCTATCGACCTCACAATCATCGTAGGTCAGCAGATATTGTGCCGTGTGACCCACGTAGAATCTTATGAGAAATTCTTTGTCCAACTCGATATGGACAAAGCTAAGCTGGTAGAAGAAGCTATCGCTAACTTTGACACTGCTAAAGTGAGTAAAGATTCCCATGTTATATTTTTAGTTTCCAGTATAATTCTTATTAATTTCATTGACTTATTATTTTCTCCACCGCAGTTGACGCCATTGACCGCAGACAACCTTGCCGAAGGGATCCACTGCACGGTGAAGCATGACGGTAAAATAAACAGGGCTATACTAGAAAGTGTTGCTGACCCAGCCAACATCACCGCTGTGTTGCCAGACTACGGAAAATCTATTACTACTTCTTTGGAAAATGTGAGTGGAACTGGACCCTCTCTAATTTTTTTCGACTATCTTTCGATATTTTCTCTAAGAGTAGTCAAATAGATAATCATGCTATACTAATTTAGATATACTTACATATTTTTATTTTGATGAGTAATATTGCTATTCTGTAGCTAAATTAATATGATTTATCGCTTACCTATTTTGGATAAATGTTTATTTCTCTATAATATGTTTTTAGCTAAGTTGGTGTGTCTTGATACATAGTACAGATGTAAATACAATAATACATACAATTTCTATTGTAATATTTTATTTCAGCTCATGATTTTACCAACGGAACTGAGCGTATACTACTATCAGTCGCTGGAGTGCAGTCTAAACAACTATACAAATGACGTTAACAAGCTAATGACCCTTGACGAACTGAAGACCAAGCTTACAGGAAACAAAGTCATCGTCTATATCAACCATGTGGAAGAGATCACGTAATTATTTTCTATTCATAATATCATCTTTTACAAAGAATTTAGTTCAATAAAACCCCAAAAGGTTTCAATGCAATTGTGTTGCCAATGTTTATGAGTGATCTCACTGTTGTTTACCGTCCTATGCCATATGAAACCTTACCTATTGTACATTCTGCAAGGTACTGCAGTATTAAGTCTTGATTTAGATATAAGTGGTATCCCATCTCTGCCTTTTTCTGACAAATCATCCAGTAATTCTCAACCTATACAAGAATATACTGATATTTGTAAGATTTTGCCACTTAATTAAGATATTTTTGTGCTATGTTGACCATTGTTGTATGAATAAAGATTTATTATTATTTAAATTATGGCGTGAAGTAGTAATCGCCGCGTCGCGGGTCGTGGAATGCTGCTCATGAATATGAGCCTCTAGCATGGCTTGAAACTAGTCGAGTTCCTCGTCAAACTGTTACGTCAGTAAGCCGAAAACATAATAATTAATGACATGAATCGTTTCAGTTTGGTGACAACCCTGTATGACTACGTGACCGGTCAAAAGATTGCCGTGTTCGAACCGGATGAAGGCGCCTATGACGAAGTGGTCCAGTTGTGTACGAGATCCGTCTTCAACTACAACTTTGGAATGGCGTACATTGTCCACGCTGAAAACTTGAACGAATTCTACCTACAGAAAGCAAGCGATGGCGACAAAATCGCTCTGTTACTTGATGAACTCTACAAGTTCTATGAAGAAGGTAAATGAATAATGATTTATTGACATATTGTATAAACTGATTAGTACCTCTTTTCATATTATGTTTTTTTATACTTGGTTATAAGAGTTTTGGTTCAATGTTCATTATTAAAAATGGCTTTATGTTTGTTATCAGGAACTCCCGAAGCCCTCGCTACTTTCGATGTGGACGGTATCTGCGCTGCGCACTCTGCAGACGGCAACTGGTACCGAGCTACTATCATCAGCGTCGAAGATACTCAAGTCAAAGTACAATACCCTGATTATGGTAACACAGAAACACTTCCCACGGAATCTCTTAAAATACTTGATCCCAAGTTCTATGAACCTTGTGCATTAGCATTAGTAGCTAGCTTAGGTCTTGTCGCTCTACAAGAAGACGCTCTCAATAAACTTAAGGAATGGACCAATGAAAAGGAAGTGCAAGTCACACTTGCTATAGGCACAGATGGTTGGCTTGCCAGCTTGCATTTAGATGGTGTAGATTTGTCAGTGAAATTGGTAAATGAGAAATTGGCTACACCACAAATAAACGCAGTTGAAGAAGAGAAAGTTGAGGAAATCCAGACTCCTGCGCTTTCTGAGCCGATATCTTTGCCTGAAGGTTGTACTCAGGTGTACATCAGTCATATCGACACGCCTGGCCACTTCTGGTTGCAAATGGCCGAGAAAATAAGCAAGCTTGACGAACTCCAAGCAGAGCTACAAACTACTGCCAGCACATTTAGTGATCTGGAAAATCCTGAATTGGGTACGTGGTGTGTCGCCAAATACATGGCTGACGATCAATGGTACCGAGCTGAGATCCTTGACTCGGATTCTGACATTATTACAATTCGCTTTATCGACTACGGCAACACTGATGTGCTTGACAACCAGCCTGGATTACTGAAGGAAATGCCTGCAGCGTTAAAAGATGTGGAAGCTTATGCGATCAAATCTAGCATTAACGCCGTACCCACGGGTACCGGCCAGTGGTCAGAGGCATCCTCTGAATATTTCACGCAACTTGTAGGCGATTTAGCAAATGCAGTGGATGCTCTTATTGTCCTCAAAGACGTAATAACGTACGTAGATATCTATGTTCAAGGGAACAATGTGACTGATAAATTAGTAACTGCGGGTTATGCCACTAGATCAGAAGAACCTGACTGTGGTGACTTGCCGTCCTGCTTCGCCAGTCATGTAAACTCACCATCCGAGTTCTGGATTCAGTTAGAAACTGCGACCGCGGAGCTACAAGCAATGGAAGCTGCGATGGTAGATGCAGAAAACTTCCCAGAGTTGACAGACAAAGAGGAAGGTGTTATTTGTGCAGCTAAATACCCTGAAGACGAAGCGTGGTACAGAGCACAAGTCATTGTGGATGGGTCGGAAGGAACCGAGGTGCTATTTATGGATTATGGAAATGCATCTATAGCTAACGAATTAAGAAGTCTACCAGATGAACTTAAAGTGAAGCCTGCGCTTTCGAGAAAATGTGCCTTGCAGAAACCTCGTGACGTTAAATGGTCACGTCAGTCTGAAGTTAGGTTTAATGAATTAGCTGCAGAAGGGGCCACTATATTTAATGTCCAATTCATAGCGTCTGGTGATATATCTATCGTTGAATTGTTCCATGAAGGAAAATCCGTGACTGAAGAACTTTTAGGGCTTTGTGAACAAATTCCGGCTCCGAGACCAGCTCCTGTGGGTCAAGACATATTCGGTAGCGGCAAAATCTGCTTTGTCAAAGATTTGGATGAATTCTATGTGCAACTAGACGAAGTTAACTCTGACCTTGATAAAGTGACGGTAAGAATGAACGATTTTGAAGAATTTGAACCTGCTACTGATCTAAAAATAGGATCTATATGCGCTGCATTTTGGGCTGACGACGAACAGTGGTATAGAGCTAAAATATTAGAATTTTGTGACGTTGGTTACCATGTACAGTTTATTGACTATGGTAACAAAGCTAAATGCGAGGAATTCCGAAAACTCCCTGACGATATAGCATCAATTGAACCTTTAGCAAGAGGCTGTCGTATTATCTTGGAAAGTGGTGACGAAAGTTTGCAAGAAGAAGGTAAAAATAAATTAGATCAGCTCACTTTAGATGACACTACTGTACGTATAGAATTTTTGGATAGTACAGTTAGTCCAAGTCTCGTGAAGCTCTCTTATGGTGGACAGGACTTTTACTCAGACCTTAAAAATAGTAATGCTACCAACCAAGCAGAAGAAACGCCAAAAGAAGAAGCTCTTCCGTCTATCGAACACGAAGTTGTAAAAGAAGTTACTAGTGTACCTGAAGCTGTAACAGCCTCGGATACCGCTACCAATGACATAGACACATTAGAATCAGAAGAAATTCAAAATGAACAGAATACATCACAAGCGGATCTCAATGAAAGTACGGAGAGCAACCACACTGTTATTGAGAACAAATCTTTCGAATCTAAACATGATAATCTGACTGAAGAAATTAACGCCGGTGAAGCAAAGGCTACAGAAACTAGTCAAGACTCTGACAAAAACGCAGAAGTTCCCGAGAAAAATGAATTAGGTGATACGAAAAATGATAGTGCAGAAATTGTCGACGAAGCTGAAAATAAGGCTGACAATACTGAACAAGCCACTGCTCAAGTAGAAACAGTAGAAAAAACTGCCGAAACAAAATCTGACGTTAATGAAACAGAGATACCCGTCGCTGAAAAAGAAAGTAAACCTGTGGATGTTGTGACGGAAAAAGAGAACCCAGATAACGTAGATGACACAGAGAATCCTGTGGTGAAAGAAGACGCTGGAAAAACCGAAACTAAAGAAAATGATGCGGAAAAAACCGTAGTCAAAGAAAATGATGTAGAAAAACCCGTAGACAAAGAAAATGACGTAGAAAAACTCGTAGTCAAAGAAAATGACGAAGAAAAGCCTGTTGAAAAAGTGACAGAGGCACTGGGCAGCCCAGTAAAACATGTGACTGACTCAACAGAAAAAGTGACTGAAGCCGGTGACACAGAACCTGTTAAGTAGACTTAGGATGTAAATACGACAGAATAAGATATTTTTAGTGAGTAAAGTCAAATTACATTGTATCATATTTATCTTTTTGAATGTAAAGTGTCTTACAACTGCTAGAAATTATATGACATGACTTTAGTTTGCTTCGTATTATGGTAAAACCAAATGCCGATCTTGTTTTGGCATTAAGAAGCAGCTTAGTTTTTTATACATTGTCGTACGAAGTACATAAAGACTAGAATGTAATAGTTAAGGTTCGGCGTATGATTGTATTGGTTGCTTTTTAAATTTTTTAACGTTGTTTAATTATTTGCTTCTCGAATCACGTAAGTTGATGTTATGAAAGTTTCAGGAAACATTTATCGTTTTAATGTCTGTTTTTGTTGTGTGCTTAAATTGATTTAATGTTATCGCGAAGAGAATATAAATGTACACTAATGAAAGTATATTATAGTGATTGTTTTCACACACATATAAATACTCATGATTGATTTTATTTTAGGTTTATCGTATGTTATGTCGGTATTAGTAGAGTTTGCTATTAGGGCTCATTTCATTATCAGTTCATAAGTAACAGCTGGAACCTGTGTATGTACATACATAATTTATTGTAATTAAACACACATTCCCTTCATAAAACGTTAGTAGCGCATGTCACCACAACTACATACCGAAGGTATATTGATTATTGTTGTTTTTGTTTAGTAAATCATCTTATAAGATATAGGACTGATGTCTGTCTTGTCCAGAGAAGGATGTTAAGTTTTTTTTTTATTAAAGATATGCAAAAATGTATTCGTTTTTTTATTCAACTGCCCTATAATTATACTATTAAGATTATTTAGACACCGTTGAGAATCGGTGAAGGAAAAAACATAGTGAGGAAACCTGGACTTAAGGTTAAACTAGTCGCGGGCTCGAACTCAATCAAGGGCGTGGCCAAAAAGCGCGCTGTCTCATCTAACATCGTGTGTGACAGAAATAGTACCAGTGATGAGCAGTTAGACGCTATCTATTTGCACGACGTATTGTTCGCACGCACACAAACACAGCAAAACGTCACTGAACGGTGCATATATCTGTGCTGTGTGTGTTTACTCGTAGTAAAGTCGTACACGCTGCTACGATTTTATGATGCTCGCATGAATTTAATAATTATTGTCACAGGGCATTGTAATTACTGACAATTTTTTTATGATATCAACTTATCATCCGATCCGAAGAATCCACGAAAGGCTAGGGATATAATTTTATATAATATTTTTTTTTCTAAGTACCAATAACTTTATGTACCTACTACAAACTAGCTAGATGCATCTTTTATCTAAATAATACAGTTCAAATGTCATATTTTCATCAGGTTATAATGTTTAACTAATATTATAGTTTGTTTGGTTGAACATAATAATCTCAGGAACTACCTACCTATTTAGGTAGGTACTTACTGGTCTGAATTATTTCCTGAATTTCGAGACAATTGATCTGTCATTATGTTTTCATAAAATTAAATATATACTTACCTAGTTAGGTACGTCGGTGACTACCTAAGATTACTAGAAGTAGTGATAATACCACATAATTAGATTTTCGTCATTTCGTCCGTAACAAAACTTGTGGACTTCATACCTACATCGTGTAGGTAGGTCCCTAACTCCAACTTCGTGTTAGGTACCTACAGACTTTTTGGCAGCTCGGAACGTAACATAAAGCTGCGCACTAGGTACCTCCCTGACACAAACATAAGTAGAGATACCGGCTCGAATCTTGAGCGCTCGGCATCAAAGTGGGTAGGTATACATTGGCGAGCTAATCACTGTAAAAGGATTTTTGGGAGAAGAATTGTAGGTAGCAACAATCCTTCTCACAATACCTACTACTAAAGAGACTTGATTTCTGCGCAATCTGAGTCAACGCTCAATATTCATGCCGGTATAGTATCTGTATTAGCAGCACAGGAGAGCGCCGCAAGGCTGGGTATAATTGCTAAGGGTTCACCCTTTTAGTTACTTACTTATTTATTATGCTTTTATTTATAGACAAAAAAAAACAATGAACCTGAAAAATCTTTATTGGTAATCGTAATATTTATTTAACATAATTATTGACATTGACTTAAAATCTATCTCTAAATGGTAATTTACGAGGGTAACGCGGATCTATCAGCTCCGGCAAAACACATTGGTGGTAAAATATATCTAATTTAGAAATTTTGTCTGGCGTCCAAAACTCATCATCTCTTTCAATTATATCTATTTCGATGCCATTTGGCGTCCAAACAACAAAATAACAAAACTTTCTTTTAGTTACCATCAGTTGGCCTTGTACCTGATAATAATAATTATGCGTTTTTTTCAACTGGATT